AAAAAAAAAAAAAAAAAACTAAAAAACCCCACATCTCTGCAAACAGACTGAGCATAGACTGACTCTTAACTGGGATTTACTAACATAGGAAGCAAGACTCTTGATGCACAGACATGCAAACCTACACAGCAGCCCAAAAACAAGGGCAATTCGCAAGGTCAGGATGTCGGGCTTGACGCTGACCATAATACCTCTAAAATGCAAGAATCCTGTCTATACATATAGCTACTTAAAGTATAATTCACGAATATACAAGTTAATCTTTATAAGCAAAACCAGACCACGCACAGTAGGATTATATTATCTTTGCATTATTGCAAGATTAACTGGGTTCTAAAAATACTGTAATAGAACCATATTGTTTTGGCTTAAACTGACATATATAAACTTCTCTGACATGAATTATCCACAACACAATTAACAAGTTCATGAACGTGTTCAAGTTCAAAGCATTTCAATGAAAACACAAGGAAAAGGCAACAGGATAACAACTACAATGGGTTACTGTTGTTACATCGATATTTCCTCCCCGTGTAACCTTTATGACCCAATAACAATATATTTCTAGAAATGCATTAATCTTCAGGTAATTAAAAAACATGAGTTAAAATGAGATGACCCTCTTCCCACAATAAATGTAACAAACAGTGTAACACACATCTGTAACTAAAATTTTATAGTCAGTGTAGGAGTCAGACTCAGAACTGGTGAAGGCATACAAAGCTCACACCAACCCTGACTCTGGTACACTGCATTTATTTTTCAGAACAAGGGCTCAAGATAATATTTCAACTACTATATTTTCAATAAAATAAAAAACCACAGCACAGTGACACAGAACACTAACGAGTTACCCTGAAATCCAGCCTGCTTATACATTTTGGCTGGAGGAAAAGAGGCTCATCCAAAATTGAAGCTAGGCAAGTTAACTATAAAATTGAGTTACAATTGTGTATCAACTGTCTTTTTATAGCTCTAGTATCAAATCAACTTCATTCAATCAAAAAAAAGTTCATCCATTTATCTTAAAGAGCTATGAACCAAGTTATGAACGCAAAGTTGAACTCCTCCCATTTTTCACCAAAAATTGATATTAGAGATAAAGCAAATAGATTATTTTAAAACTCAATATAATGAAGTCTTTGAACCCAAAAGCCTCTCCAAAATTAACTTGTGCTGTGTTCCACTTACACACTGTATCATATTCTTCATTTTGTCACTATGTGCAAAATAGATCCTGTAACACCATTCTTCGTTAAATTACTATATAAACAAAGAGGGTCTGGAGATCAACCATATTTCATGTCTGAGATGACAGGTCTTTGATACAAGTAATGTTTTTGGTTGAATATATGACATGGTATTTGATCAGAAACATTAACTGTCTTGCTGTATTCAGCATTTGTGCAGAAAAACTTCTGCATGTGGTAACTGTAATGAGATTCTCTATTTGTACTGTACACTTAAGCTGCACTTCAATGATGCTCCTTTAAAACCTCAGTCTTTCCACAATTTTAAGCTGCTTGATAAAGTTTTCTACTAAAATGGCATGTGCAACTAAACTGATGATTAACAATGTTCTGTAAAACCTCTACAAAAAGAGAGCTGCTATCTCCATTTAAGGATTTAATATAGAAATTATATACTGTAACTGTGTCTAGCTGTAAGAAAGTCAGATTGTGAATAATTAGAGTCACTCAAGAACAAACTACGATGCTACCAACTATTTCACTGTGACCTAGAAGATCCAGGTTTGCCCTCCCATAGATTTTCATCAGTGTTGTAAAGCGAAGCACAGCAGCCCCGTACAAGCTGATTTTATGAAACTAAACTATTTTCCTGCTAACAGTGAAACATTTAAAACCAGAATTGAAGCATGCAGAAGAAAACAGAGGGGAAAAAAACAGGGTTGGAAAGGGGGAGTGTGAGGAATCCAGAGGACAGGAAAGAGCTCATTCCACCTAGCAGTGTCTTGAAAGGGTAACCACAACAAGGGAAAAAGGCAAAAGAATATTGACCCTTAAAGCTCCAATGCCTACATGTACTCACCAAGTGGAGGAAAGCCCCGAGCAGGGCTTGTATCTCGACTGCTCTCACGGCTGGTATCACGACTGCACCCCTGACTCATGCTGGGTCGGGGGATACGACTGCTCCGTGCTAGCATGCAGCATGGAGAGTTTCAGAGAAGGTGAACAAGTTTAATGAGGACAGAAAGCTCAAAGTCAAGTCACATTTCTGTTAGTTACGGTAATTATTACATTAGTAATTACAATCTGCAGCAGCCTGCTCAGGCTCTTTACAAACCAACTACCTTACATGCTGAGCGGTGTTTGTGATGTGAAATTTGAGCAGCATTAATGTCTGGCTGACAGTCTGTTTTTGTCTTAAGCAATCCAAGTTTTGTTATTCAAGTAGAGCAGCAATCTTCAATCATTTAGGGGAGCTCTACTGTTGCAAAACAGATGAGGCTGAAAGAAACCCTTCTGGAATATTTCTTCCTTAATTATAAGATAAACATCCTTCTGGAACAAAATAGTAGATGAAAATTTTTTTAAGTAATCATAATACCTATATGTTATTTCTACATAGATTTGCCTTTCACAAGGATAATTTTGCCATGAACAAATATCCTAAGGAAAAAAAAGGTGTACTGTACAGACTTGCAGAAATATCTTTCTCTAATGAAAGGTACTGAGAAAAAGCATTTAGAACCTGAATACCTGAAAGACAGATTAAAAAGTGATTTGAATTTGAAGAGAGCAGCAGAGCTTCAGATATTTAATAGAAGCTAACTTCTTGCTCCTCAGGCATTTTCTAAAAGCTTATATTTATAGTTTTACATGCACATAGATCAAGATGTATGCACACTGAAGGGGAGCTTTAAACTATACTCTTTACTTTGACAAAACTCTATATGTTTGCAGATGTTTGAAATCCTACATGTTTGAAAGATGTTTGCAGAAAGGTATTTAGTAAGCTTTATACCTGATAAAGAACACAATATTTTCTTATGGAAAAGAACAGCAGTTAATTGTCAGGAGTTTACCCTGAAGAATTTAATGACAAGAGAGATTTCCTTTGCTGTTTTGAAAAGGCAGTAGCATATTTTAAGCGTTCAAGAAAAGCCATTAAAGAATTTTCTCATGCACAAAGTAAATCCTAATCTGCCAGCTTTGATGACAACACAGCAGAGGTATGTATGCATAATATGAACATGCTAATAATTTGACAGTATCCCTGTTTTTATTTAAAAAAAATTCCATTTGCATGCTTCAGAATATATATATATATTCTTATAAATGTTGGTTTTTACAGAGAACCTATACGCCTAGACTCAAGCTAATGAAGTTCCTCTACAGTGTTTCTGTGGTCTCATATACACTGGGTGTGTTAGTATCCTTCAAGCAAAACAGTACAGAACAAAATAGAAACCTTCATATTTGGGTTTTTTAATTCAAATAGAAACTTCTGCCAGATTCTTGGTTTGTCAAATCCCTTCCAGTTTTGCAAAACCCAGTTCATATCTCTCAGCTGAATTAATGGTTCTGATGGTTGACCTTTGATGTCAGACAATGCAAGATGAGCTATTAACCAAGATGATTAGATCACCATAATGTCTAATGGTTCTGAGTGAGCTAAATGGTCTTAAATAAGACAGACTAAATTATAAGAACTGGATGAAACTAGGGTCCATGAGTACAATAATCTCACCTCAGATGTACAAGGAAAAAAGCTGACGGGTAAACTACACGTAAAAGTAACACACTAAAGTCTTGCACATAATACTTGCTTGAAATTGCAGACTCTATAGAAGCAAACTTCTCATTCTTGGGTCTCATGCTTAGATGTAAATAATGGCAGCCTTCACATCAGGTTTGCACAAGCAGTCATTTCTCTTAAGCAGAGAAGATCTGCCAGCCTTTTCTATAATACAACCCTACTAAAAACTGTAAAGGTTCTTAAGAGAGGGAGAGATGTGAATGATTAAAAAAATTAATGGATGCACACAATACATTCTCCTTCCATAACAGCTAACAGCAGCAGCATGAAGTATGAAGAAAATGTGCTCTAACTGCATGAGAACAGACTAGTAGGACAATGCTACACATGTAGCACAATACTGACTGTACAAACAGAGCACCCTAAACCAAACACTGATTACTTCATGAGTAGTGGTCAAACAAAAGGGTTGCATGTTACTTGATACAAACACAGAAGAAAGGAAAAAAAGAATGGATAGAAAAGAACTGAAAGATGAGTCTGTTGTGGACTCCCAGACACCTGCCTCACATTTTTAATACTGTGCTGTGTAGAGAAGGTTGTGTATCAGCTGCTCAGAGTATTTCCTTTAGACACTGCCAGCAGTGTTGTAATTTAGAGAAGTCTCTCATACTGTGACAGCCTGTCTCTGTACTGCAGGCAGCAGAGACGACAGACACAAGTCTCAATTTGAGAATTCTCAACCCCCAAAAGTTGGACAGAAATCAAGTAAATGAGTAGCAAAATGGATTAAAAGGGGTAATCAGAATGAAAGCAGACAGTGTGCCCACAGCCAGTTCTGCTGTGAGAGAGCCTAGGACAGGACAAGGCTGCGTTGTTTTTAATAATATTCAAACTTTCTAATGTGTACTGTACATCTAAGTTTTACCAACTTCATCTGGAAAGTCACAGCACTTAGACATGGCTCACATCATTACTGAAACACACCAGTGGAACACAATAAATGTAAATATCACTAGCAGAACATGATACTGCCCCTGTTTACCAATCTACCACTTGGAAGAAACTTGTATTTCATCAGGGTGTGAATTTTAATGATTCTTAAGTGGAGACTGAAAATCGGCAGAGGCTTTCTTTAAATCAATACCAGCATTTTAAAGTCTGAAATGCTGCCAAAACAGCCAAAGGAAAGCTCTGCAGTGGGATACACCCTGTAGAAGCAAGTCAAGAACTGCCTTCAGCTTTCCAGCAAACACTCATAGCATAACCAGAGAGAGTGCTGTTGCAGGAAACTGATAGCCAGCTGTGCCTGCTCCACTTTTTGGAGAACAACAAACTTGAATCTCTCACTCCTTTCAGATCCAGCTGTGCCACATGGTCTGCTGAGCATCCAACAGAATTAACTTCAGGCAGATAACTTTCAATCCATGGGAAATGGACATCGCCTTTTTGAGGAGATGATCTCCTTCAAGGGACCCAAAGAAAAGCTCAAGATTAAGTGGACTATACTCCTCCTTCCCCAACTATCACCACTTGTAAAACCCACCGAGGAGACAGCAAAGGTAAGCTTAAAACTGAAGTGTCATAAGCAGGGCTATACAGGTGACCATGCAGGACCTTGGCACACCAAATGTGCCTCTGAAAACAACTTCTTCAAGGTTTCCAGTACACAGAAGGAACATTATTCATGGATACCTGTGGTCATCATGGAAATCTAAGCTAGCATCAATTTACTGATGTTAACAGGCACCCACATGGAGAGGCTCTATTAGCTTGCTACTGCCACGGAGGGCCTGAAAAACTCCAGTGGATGGTTCCTGTATTGAAAACCAAGGTGAGTGGGAGTCTATTTAATGAAATGAACAAACAAAATAAAATATCAAGGAAATAGAGAGACTGAAGCAACATAATAAAAAAGCATAAAATACTGTTAGCTACTATGCTATAAAGTAATAAATACAATGGAATAATGATATATAGCTGACAGCGCAGAAGCTATCCAAGCCAATATCACCATTTTCAAGATTCAATAAAAATACAGAATTTCTGCAACTGAGCAGTAAAAGCAACACGAGTGTCAGACACGCCTGTTCCCCTAACAGCCCAAAAAGAACAGGCTGTGGCCATCAACCCAGGGAGGGCAGGTGTAAGCCACACATTTGATACATGTCAGAGCTCTCTCCCACTCTCAAAGAACAAGCACTGACTGTCTTCTCAGGGAGCACACCAGAGAAATGAGATACAAATTACTCTTTCAAAAGAATTCAAGGCTCCGTAATGTACCTGAAAGCAGGCAACCCAAGAGTGAGGATTTTTACACAAGGCAATTTCCCTTCAGATGCTCAAGACTGTTTCAAATCAAACCACATAACGTGATGATCAGCTTAAGCATGGGTGATGGTACTATCCATCATTCTTTGCTTCCTCCTAAAAAACACCGCTCTCCTACAGAGTGATAGCAGAACAATTATCTCCAGTATTTGGGAGGCACTTCACATTTTAAAAGCAGCAAACAGAAAAGCACAATGAATTCATACAGAGGCAATAAAATAGATCAGACATGAGAAGAACACTGAATTTGGAAAAGCAATCACAATGAACATGAAGTATTTTTTATGAATCATAATGGTATATGCACTGAGGTGCTCTAAAATTATTTCAGTATACTAGAAGAATGAATAAGATACTTCTCTATTAACAATCTACTGTAAATAAAAAGGTAGCCTAAATGTAAAATACATTTGCTAAGACAACAGTTATAAATTTAACTGCCAACAGTAAGGCTATAATTTCAATCAATTTCAACTTGCTAGAAAAGTCTTTGGAGATAAAAAATAATTTAGCATCAGTATCATTTCAAGTGTTTTTCTTTTACATTAGTTTCAAACTTATAAACAATTTCTATTAAAAGATGAAAATGTTCAGACAGCACATTGAATACCTTTTCACCTCAGTTCGGATACATGAAAGTTTTATATATGATGTTTACTCACCTGACCTAAAAAAAATGAATCTGCTGATAAAATTTGAAAATTGAAACTATTACAGAATATTTACATAACAGTCACTGAGACAAGAATACTGAAAGCAGAACAATTAAAGTAGAAGTCTAAAACATCATCTAAGAATGTGGCTCCAAGATATTAAGGATGAGAGAAGCAAACCATTTAAGCTGCAAAATTTCTCAGATAATCCAAGAAGGTGCTTTTTGCCTTTGATTCCAACTGACTGTAAAGATTGCTCAACTCATTTTAGGACTGAGACGTTGATACCAAATGAGGTCTTTCTGCTGTGATGGTTATTCACGACAACTGTTTTTGCCATCTGATCTAATAACATCACTCATGTTGAATTTCAAACAGAAGATACATCATGACATCTTTAGGCTTACTTTGAAAGTATAGCTCAACCTGGAAAATTAAAATTACTCTCCAATAAACCACAATCACATTAACTTGTCAAATGAAAAATTCAGAAGAATAACAGTAACATAAACAGTTTACTAGTCAACAGGAAGGACCCTCCTTCAAGCATGCTGGTCAGCATGTCACTGCAGCGACTGTTCTTACCTAGTCCTATTCTGTTGGGACTCGTCTCTCGACTGCATCCCTGGCTCCGAGGAATCTTGCTGCGCTTCTCTGAAGATGATGGCACTGGCTGGACTCTGGATGTTCCGCCGCTCAGGCCACCATAGGAGCTTCCTAAGAGCTTACCCGGAGAACTAGACCGGCTACCAGCTAGAAGAGAACCAGAAATAAGGGCAAAACAATTAAACCCCCCCAAGATTTTAAGCACACTGATGGCAAAACTGGAACACAATAAGCTCTCTATAAAAATTTGATCCAAATCACTCAACAAACTAATGGGAGTGTTCCCTATGGGCTTGCAAGGAAGACTGAGGAAAGCCCATGGACAATAAACAAGGACATCAGCAACCCTGCCTCTATGAACTGTGCTTCCCACTGGGGATCAAGTCCAGACATTGCTGCATTTGAACACCCCAGCTGGCTTTATGAGAGCTTGTGGAGGTGCCGGGACAGCCCTGTTGCAGCAATACGGAATTCACAGGCTGCTTCTACTCCTCACAAAGCAACACCAACGAGCCTGTGTGGAGAGCTGTGCTGCAGCTGCCGGCTTCTGGCACAGGTCACCTGCTGCAAAGGAGCTCAGGCATCTTCATTCTACACTGCGGTGGTGGCATTACTTTCCTACAATAATTCAGTGAAGGAAAATAAAAAAAAAAAAAAAAACCACAACAAAATCCAACCAACATAAAACCCCCATCACATCTGAAGAGATCAGCACAATAAGGGTAAACCACGTGAGCCTGTCACATTTGTAGAGATGATGGCTTAATTAGGTCTGGTTGGTTAAATCTAAGCTATTAATTCTTCAGATGAAGAAAATTTTTAGCAAGTCGAATAGTTGGCCTGTTTTATCTTTTCTTCTCTGTTTGAATAGTTCATAGCAAGTTTACATTTCTTCTAAGCCTTGTTGTCTGCAAGAGAGTCTACTAACCAAGATTAATTTACATATTTACATTCCAGCTGCAGTAGATATCTCTATCTGAAACACTTTTGCTGTCTAATTTAATGAGATGACTGATAATTTCTTTTTTTCCCCTCTGGGTCTTCATTTGCTAAGTTGTTTGAAAATTAAGTAATGCTAGCTTAAAGGTAATCATAAAGAAGTAATACTCTAAGAGTAATAGATTCAAGACTATTTTTTTTTTTTTTGCTTCTTCAGGTATATAGAGTCCCTGAAAATCTGCTGTTGCCATTACCATTCCTGACATTCAATTTATTTGCTAAAACAGCCAGGAAAAGTATACTTGAAAAGGTTGCAAGAACATACTCAGGCAAGCTCACATTTTGAATTGATACTCATGTTGGTTTCTCTCTGAAAAGTACCTATGCATCTCACAAAAATTTCATTTCCAGATACTATTAGTACTAGCAAGAGTTAAAGACTGTTCTCCTGTCTTAATTTAGAAGATATGCAATTCTATTAGTCTCATGGACAATGCCATAACACATGTATTATACACTTACTCGTCCCCTCCAATTTCTCAATCAAAGCCATTCTGAATCAATTAAATATACTCCAATACTGTGTGTGGTGCTGGCTCCATTCTCCCCACCCCAAAGTGACAGATGCCAGTCTTACACAGAGTACCACAACCTAAAACCAAGACTCTTCTCAGTTACACTGCTGCGATCTCACTGATGTCAGCAGGGTTGCACTGAAGTAACTGGAAAAAGAATTTAGCACCTGGGGTTTAAGCTGCAGCAGTGAGAGTGCCTCCATGTGCAGAACGTATGTTTAGCACGTTTGATTACTGGGAGAAAGCAAAGTCACCTGCCATACACATTTTGACTTATGACTTTAAGAAAATGTTTTTTAAGTCTCACGGTTAGGAGAGAATGAGGGACACTAAAAGCTTAGCAGTTAAAAAATGTGAAGGAAATAACATGAGAAAGCAAGAAAGGGAAAACATTTCTTACCACCAGCAGGATTAGCTGATCTCGATCCTTGATTATGAGGGCAGACCAAGGGACAGGCAAAAAGTGGATTAAAAGACAGCAAGACAATACTGCGTTCAGCATGCGGTTTATGCTATACACAATACAGACAGATTTATTTACAAACATGTCACTCCTAAAGCCTCTGCAGAATGCAGTGAGTTAATGTGCAGATGCAACTAAATTTCCCAAGGTTGATCAGTTACTTAGTAAAATGTCAACCAAGACACTGAGACTCAAGTTCTGCTCTAAATTACACCCCAGCCCAGTCTGAAAAATTTCAGCATGGTTACCCACTGTGTGGGTATGGAGAATTTGGTCCTGTGACTTATATTTGAATTCATAAATTATTTCAAGCAACTTGGCTTAAGGATAAAGAACACATCTGATTGGGCTAGGCTGGAAATGGGATTCAGCAAACTAGACCAAGGCAGCAAGTTCAGATATGACCATCCTAAATTTTCATAAGGCATTCTATAAAAAAAAAAAAGTAAGTTCATAATATCTGAAACCTTCGGATATTTAACTATTCTTTAAATACTTCTGAGACTTGTCTCATGCAGTCTGACCATTTTTCACCAAACTAAGTTTAGGAAAAAAAGGGTAATTTCTGGATTTAGATCAGTTTTAGGTTCAAAACTTAAGCAATCAATTTATATCAGCATACCTAAGCCCAAATATATCTTCGAGACCCCAATGTAAAGATTTTCATTTGGCCCTATTCTCAACATACTACTGCTTTCTTCAGCTCTCTCAGCTTAACACAAGGTTACAAACTGCTTCTTCACCTCTCCAGCATGACAGAGCAAAGCAATGAGAGAATGAACAGAGAAGGGCTTTTAAATAAGGGTACAAAGCAAGACAAGTCCTCAGAACAGACAGATCCTTCCACAAACCCCATCTCCTCTTACCCACAAGGCTGAAGGTCCTCAAAACAAGGACTAGCCTTCTTCCTACCCCCAATTCCTTTTAAAGTTTGAGTGACAAAATTCTCCTTAGATGCACATGACAAACATGCAGCAGGACCATATGTGTGGCTCCTAGGGGAAAGTCATGCCTTGCCAGGAAGCCAGAGAGCGCAGATGTGTCATGTGAATCAAAGCAGAACCCTTTTCCCCATATCTACACAAAATAGGTAATGTCCTATTTTAAACTGATGCCAAATCCCGTTAATTTTAGACAGCTCACGTGTCACACATACAGAAATAGAGTCACATAAGCGGGAGAAGCTTGGCAGAGCAAGACCCCAGGACAGCAGTCAGCTACAGCCACAGGGGGTGTCTCAGCAGGACTCAGTGCCAGCTATTTAGTTCTACAGATGACAGCGACATGAGATTCTGCTGCACAACCAGTAAATAATGGTAGCAACTTAGCACTCGGATTTGGGGCCCTCTCTGTCAGCAGGAGCACACACTGCCTACATGGGGATTCATTTTATTACATGTCCAAACACTATTATCAGAAGTGAGCCCAATTCTCAGCTGACGCTACTGCAGTTCAAGAGAAACGTATTAATAACTATTTGTTCTGCTCCCCCAGGAATAAAACAATTCTTACGCTGGGACTGGGAAACTACTTTAGCCCGGCTGCGGCCTCGAGTATCAGCAGGTGTCGAGGTGACACTTGTGGCACTGCCAGAGCTCTGTCTCCTCGTACGGATCCGACCTGGAGGAATGCAAAGACAATCACACTGTTAATAAAAGGCAGCAGCAGTGTCTAACACACTCTACACCCAATTACCCAGGGTATACAAAAGAATTTTATAGGAAGAGGCAACACCTTTTATTGGGCTGGCTGAGACGCAGGGGAGGGAATGAAAACAGCCACAGTCCATGAGTCCAAAAACTTCTTTGCTCTCAGTAATGCTATCAGCCAGTTTAATTAAAAAATATTACCTCTCTATAGTCTTTGTTTCTGTTCTATAGTAGCTTCTTTATAAAGGATCAACAACAAAAAATGTCAACCTCCTCAATGCAGCGTCCTATATCAAATTATTACTTTCTGAGAAGGTGATCACACTTTCAGAGACAGGTGTGACAGATGCCCTCCCAAATTCCATCACTGGGATTTCCAGCTAGCTGTTTGGTGCTTTATATCCTGCTCCCCCTGCGCAGGATGGCATGCACTCCTGCGACACTCTGTCAATGCAGTCTGACCATGCTTTTATTTCAGGCTCATTGAATTTTCCCTGTTTACAGATCCCTCATATTTATCCAGAGATCAGTGTAACTTGACTTGTAATGGAGAGTCCCATTTAACACAATCAATGTTGTGGAAAAATGATTCTGTGTGCCTTCTCTTTATTTAAGCAGAGAAAGGGTATAAAGTGTTCTTGGTCCTTTTTCGGTCCTTTCCTCATGAAAAAGCCACAGACATTTGAGCTAGGAAAGCTTACAGGGTCATCAGTTCACCCCCTTCCTGGGGCAGGGCCGTTTCCTACAGAACATTCTTTCCAGTGCTAAGCTTCAATTATCTGTCTCTAGTTAATGGGAAAGAAATGATAATTAAGAGTAACACAAAGAAAGCCTCCATCAGTACTTTTCAACACGTCCGTTCCCAGCCAAATCTGAAGTTGTTTCTCAGGACTCATGCCAGTGCTATCCTGCATTCAGAGGATGATTTCAAGTTTCAGGCACAATAATAAAAGAGAAAAAACCCATATCAGGTAAGGGAAGAGTCTAGACAACTGCACCCACTGGTTACAGATATTCATCTCCTGCCCTCTTGTCTCTACCATAAGCATACAGAGAAATATGAACAGGGAGACACACATTTCCCACCCAAAAAAACCCAACTTCACATAAGGTACACATGCAGGACAAGACAATGGCAAGCAGCCCAGGTTGAACAATTGGGAGCTACGTTCTTCTGTGAGCTCTCAAAATATTCATAACATGGTCTGCAAGTTTCTGCTAGACACAAAGAGACAAGGAGATGCTTAACTTTGAGAAGAAAGGCTAAACTTGTCTGCAAGGGAAAAAGCCTACAAGACAGCTCTACTTCAAACCTCTTCACCAGCACCTAGTTTTAAAACAGCTCAGTAGGCAAAATACAGGCATGTACATTCAAACAACTGCTTATAAATGAGACACAGAAGAAATCATTAGCATAAAACTCAGAAAACACAAACAAAACTTTTTAATCACCGGCTTAACTAAACAAGCTCTGAGCATGTCCACATGGGTCCAGCAGTCACCAAACTGGCTGCTGAGGTCTTACCACCAGCAAGGCTGCAGTTCTCCTCTACTCTAGGACAGTCTTGCCTCTTACAAACAGTCAGCCTGATACACAATCAGAGGCAGCCCTAGAGCTTTCTGCTGGCTCACTCCTATCCCGTGCAAGTTTGGCACAGCATAGCTACACACAGATGAGCAGAGCCACCCTGTGACTCGTTAACAAGGCATGGACCCCGAACCCCACCATGGGCTTTGAGGAAGAACTGTTTAGGGAAGGAGGCAGACAGATGTCACACTCTTGTCAGAAGCCTCAAGACTTCCTCTCATTTCTCACATCAAGAGGGCATCATAGTAAGACAAGAAGTTAAACCTGACCAGTCTTAGGAACCAGTAATGGAATTCACTCACATCCTTCCAGAATGCCAACAGGAGGCCTTGGCACTATAGGAAGTCCTGGGGGGTAACTCAAGCTGAAATTCACTTTTACACACAACAGCAGACATTACTGGAAGACATGTTTAGTGATATGTATGGGCCAAGAAAGGGTGAGAAGATACTGATGTCTCCTCTTATGCACAGACCACTTAAGATCCTCAAAATTTTCTGGATTTTTCTGCATCTACAAAAAAAATTATTTTTTTTGGTCTCCATCAGTAGGTGACTAAGGAGAAAACTGGGACAACATGTATTCTACCTTAAGAAATACAAAGCCTAAAAAAATCTATAAAGAGAAACCAAGATTAGCTTCTGATAATTCTAGAGGCTTTAAAAAAGAAAACTGAACTGAAGGGTCAAACTTAATTAACATGTGATTATCAGTAGGATTAGAAACAGAGAACTCAAGTCCTATTCTGAAACCCTTGAGAGTTAGTGGACAGATTCCTACCAACTTCAGCAGTTTCTGAATGAATAAATGCCCAGGAACAAAATTCTGCTTCCTTTTGGAATGATAGATTTGCACACTGATTTTGGGCTAATGGGTGTCAGAGAGAACAATGTGGGACAAGGAGTTGCTCTCCCACAGGAGGAACAGAGTGCCAACACTGATACTGGTTTTCTCATCCTTTCAGACACTGTACTGGACTTGCACTGTGCAAACAGATTTTCAAATATATTATACCAAGTACAGCATGCATATATTGTAGATGCAATATGTAGATATAAATGTGTCTGCTACACTTCCCTAAGAATTTCATGTGCAAACAAGAGTCTGCATTTACACCCAAGAGTTATTTGCACATAGAACTATGCATGTGGCTTTATCTCTATCATTCTAACCCAGACAGAAAAACTAATTTCAAGCAGGACTGGAAAAAACATATCAAGTAAGTTATTTAGACTTTGCTATTGTTGTTTAATTCAAGCAAACACCTCCCCTCCCAAAACTTCTATGCTTTCAAGTGGGTTTGTCTCCATATCTAGCTCAAACTGCAGATGTAGCAATCCATATTTCATAATCATTATTTTTCTACTGCTTTTAAAAGCATTACTGCATTCTGACAACAGCAGTACAGCAAAGGAACAGATAAAGACTGCCCCAACTAGTTTCCAAAAACCATAAAAGTATTTCCATAAAAGAGTCCTTGATCTAAATTTGATACGTGACACATTGGTTGGTACAGAAAGGATTTTGAAAGACTCCATGCAAATGCTTTGTGTTGAGAAACCATTTGTGGATGTTTTAGGAGGTTTTGGTTTTATTTCTTGAAGTTACTGTCATTTTTACAACAATGGTTCAGAATCAACCCTGAAATGTCTAACATATGTTAAAACCCAGGAAGGTTGTCTTGGTTTTTTTTTTAAAAGGAACAAGTGAAGTAAGATTCTATGATAACATTTGTGCTTTACAAGAGGCTTCATCTGACAGCATTACTCTGAGCTCTTCTGAGTGGACACTGCACCATCCCCATTCCTCAGAACAGACATGGGCTTTGTGACACTCAGCCTGTGCATTGCACTGAAGAAAATGGCTTTCCAATAGTCTAGAAATGGTATGTTATAGCTCCGCAACTCAGTTTAATCAATTCCATGTGTAAATAGTGATACCTACAACCACACAAGTTACATATGGAAGCACTAGGATGATAATGGTCTCTCCACAGATCAGGTTAAAGCATTTAGGGTACCTAGAACTAGGTTTTTACCCCACTTGCAGAAAAACAACCCCCTATATGTATCGCTGCTAAATGTCACATGGACATCTGAGACACAGATCAATTAAAAACATGCTTTACATATAAATCTGTAAACAACTTTCTACAACTACGATTGGAATGGTTACCATGCATATTCAGCACTTGTCCAACATTATATTAGTGTAAGACCTGACTCTGCACCACAATTTTCCCCAAGAAGGAACTGATTCTTACTGGAAAGCATCAGATTATGCCATCTCTAGGTTTTGCACAAGAACTCCCTCCAAAGCAGAGGACTCAGTAAACAACAGTTGCTCCACTTTGCCCTACACAAATAAGCATGGGCAAATCAACTCAGCACTTGCAAAGGGATGGACCAAGAGAAGTAAGAAACCTGCTACCTGAGCAGTACCACGGTCAGTCACCACTTTGAAAGAAGCCTTTAAGGAGAGCTTTAAGGCAGAGAAGAAATCAGGAATGGTGATTTCTTTAAACTTCTGTTACTCCTAAAGCCTTTGATAATGCACTCAAGGTGTCCAACTGAGCCTAAGTTATCTGAAAATTATAATGAAACACATTTTATTGCCTTTGTGGTGAATAATAAAAACTATTGAAAATTGTGCCACTGATTGTAGAAACCGCCGATTTTATTTTAAACTTGCCAGTTTCAGGTCAAACCAGCATTTATGCTTCTCCCTTTAGGGAAAGGCTTGACTTTATGCTCACTTTGAAAAAAGGCAGCCAGATAACAGAAATGCTCTGCACCATTATTCTGTACTGAAAGTCAGCATTATGCACGTTTTTAAAATATTCCTTGAAAATCCACTTCATGATAAAACACGCAGAAACTTTTCTAAGGTTTCCTTTTAATCAGGTATAACAAACATGGCACAAGTGCTACCTCCCCAGCACTAGCTGTGAAGTACCGATCAATATAAAGACTTTATCTCTTTTGAGGTTTCTGTGTCCAAAGCCCTTAATGAAGTTCAGGGAATCATGATTGTTTTGACTGCCCAGACCCCATACATGAAGGGTCTGGGCAATCAAGGCATAACTGTGCACTGCATGAAGACCTGCACAGATTTCACTGGTATACAGACTCACAATACCTTTCCATAAGGAAGCACATTTCAGCAACATTTGCCAGTTGGGATGCCACTACTTAAAACCAAAGGACTGACACTCAACTCAACTTGTATTCTTGCTACTGGCACAGCCTACTCTATCTTGCTCCTGGTTTGAGCTGCCTGGCTCCTCACCAAACCACTGAGGAGAACCGAGGGCAAAGCAGATTGGAACTGCCAAGTCCACACAATGCTGGCTCCGGCTGAGGGGAAGGTGCAGAACTTTTACACTGTAGCTACAGAAAGCCATGATGGGAAACAGACTGCAGATTCAAGGTCAAGCTGAACCACACAAAAAAACACGGGGATTTTCTCTTGAAGACTTACTGGTGACCTGCAAAAAACCCCAAACAAACCACAGGAGCATGGGTGTAGGTGGCACTTCTGCTTTATATTCTGTTTCCTCCTGTATTTCCAGAGCAAGGGGATGTTTTTCTCTTCCCCTACCCTCTTAATTTTTACATTTATG